TTGGCAGGGCTGACATGTCTGAGGTCGTGAACTCCAAATGATCATAACATCAAAACCCCAAGTCATGTTGATTGAAGTTCCAACCTGATCGAGCATGTTACATGCTGAGGTCTGGAATGGTCCAACTCGGCTATATCTAAGGGTTAACGTCAGCGACTCATGATCGGAGGGGTCTGGGGTGCGAATCCAGCTGCTGGGCACGGAATGCGACCTTGAGCAAGCCACTTCATCTTGCACTTGCTTCTCTCTGCCTCAGCGTCTCCAAAATGGATTCTGGCATTAGCTGGCGAGGAACCTGCTCGGGTCCTGTCAAGAGGGGGGGAGGGATGAAAGTGTTTTCGTTTGTTTCTGCGGCGAAACTGGAGCTGGACGCTAGACTTGTGAGCCGGCATGAGCCTGTTAAAAACTTTGCTTGCCTCTCAGGGTTTGTTTTTTTTTTCTTTTGGCGCGTCACTCCCCCAGAACGGCACCATGCCACCCATTGCAGACAATCCCAAACTGACGATGTACGTGTTGGTGTACGGCTTGTCCCTGGTCGCCGTGTTCATCTTAGCGGGATTCAAGAGCGTCATCTACATGAAGGTAAAAAAAAAAAAAAAGAATCCTGAACCGCAATCTATACCGTCAAACCATTCCTTAGAGTTCAAATACTTTTTGTAACCCCTTTTTGACCTCTCATGGTAGAATCGCATCAACGCAGCTAGTGAGAAAATATTGTCCAATATGTGGGACGCTCAAAATCGGAGACAAACAAACTCAAGGTGCATATTTCCGTCGGGTCGTCTAAGGGGCGTGGCAAATGATGTCATTTATGTCAAGTCCAAGTTCTCCCTGTAAACTGTGATGAAGGCATCCTTTTGTCAGTGTTCACTCCTTTTTTAAAACCAGTGAGCGAATTAATTTCTGACTAGACATGTAGTTTGGGAAATACGCTTACGTATTTTAAAGCACGTGGTCCTGAGGAACCAAATGCCAAGAAATCAGTAGTTGTATCTTTCTCCCGGCACCCAGGCTGCCTTGTACGCCGCTTCCAGCATGCACGACACCGTCTTCCTGAAGGTCTTCCGCAGCCCGATGAGTTTCTTTGACACCACCCCGACGGGCAGAATCCTCAACCGCTTCTCCAAGGACTTGGACGAGAGTCAGTACTAACCCCCCCCCATTTACATCACTGGCCAAGCTGCCCCTCCTTGTATTATTCACAGTGTAATCTTTTTCAAGAAATGCATCTTGGGTTTTCGGAAGTCGCTCCAGTTGAGTAGAAAAATCGAGGCAAATTTTTTTTTTTTTGAGTCAGAGAAATTTGTAGGTTGACGCCGACAAATCTATTGGTCCCAACATGTTGACAGAAAGGCACTAGGAGGTCAAATTTCAAACAGTTCTTATTAACGGTTTTTCACTAAGTTCGTGATGACTGAGATGTATCTTTCCCTCTCCACGAAGGCGCTCGATTATTTTCTTTTATGGGGGAGGTTTCAATCTGTAAAACCTGTTTTGGGGAGTGCGTTGGTACCAGAATATGCTTTATAAATATTTCATATTGTAGATTAGATTTTTGGGATTAGGTTAGAAGCAGGCTTAACGCATCTGCGCATGTTCTATCGTTTCTACTTTCCGCAGTCGACACCTTACTGCCGATGAACGTGGAGGGCTTCATGACGCAGCTCTTCAACTTCATCTTCGCCCTGGTCATGCTGATGGTGGTCTTCTGGCCGCTGATCATCCTCCTGGTGCCCGTCACCGGCATCTTCTACCTGGTGCTGGTCCTGTACCGCAGCACCATCCGCAACCTTAAGCGTATGGAGAATGTGACCCGCTCCCCCTGGTTCTCGCACATCAGCGCCACCTCCCAGGGCCTGACCACCGTGCATGCCTATGACAAGACCACCGATTTCATCATGAAGTGAGTAGATATGCTGCATGTCGAACAGCCCCATCCGAATCAACGTCAGGAGCCCGAGTTGGAAAAAATATCGCTCAGTATACCTTGAGCAACCTTGCTGAATTTTGAAGACATGTGCGCTTCACAGTGCTCCTTTTTATTTTTCCAAAATTGTTATTGGATCTTTATATGGGGGGTGCATGTGGCTTAGTAGTGAGGGTTTGTAGCTTCCGATCATAGGATCAGAGTTTCGAACCCAGCTCGTGCCAGCATGTTGCGATCTTGGGCAAGTCACTTTACCCTATGTGCCTCTCTCCACCCAGGAGTAAATGGGTACCTGTGAAGGCAGATATGGTTATGTTAGCCGTATGCGCTTGACAGGGCTGCATCAGGCAGGTATACTCCCCAGGGAGCTGAGATGGTTTCAGGAATGTTGAGTTGTTGTTGTGAGCCCAATGTAGAAGGGTAATAACAATGTGCCTTGAGCACCCAAATAATAAAAGTAATAAAAGTAAATCGGTTTCAATAAGCCACTTGCGAGTTAAATTTGAATAAAAACTGGTACAGAGAGTTACCTGATTGCAGACATAACAATTTGAATTCCCCAGACTAAAGACACTGTTGCTATATCTTGTGATTCGGGGCAAGCTTTGGCATAGCGACCACGATCTCTGGAATAGACTGGTTCCTTTGTGCCGTTCTTATTCATTGAGAACAGTGTATTGTTGCAAGGCTTTTCTTATGTAACTAAGCAAAAGCTTGCCCCCAATCACGAGGTATAGCAACAGTGGTTGTAGTATGGAGAACTCAAGCTGTTATGTTCATGTGAATTTAAAGAACTCAGTGTACCAGATTTTATTCAAATTTAACTCGCAAATGACTTTTTATTATTACATAAATCAAGTTTTAACTAAAACGAGTCAACACATTGATCTCTCGTCATACCAAACACTAATTCATTTACATAATATCCCTTTATATGCAGGCCTGTAGGCTGGGGGTTCAAGGGATTCGAACAATTCCCCCCTCTCGCTTCCGAGTTCCGCTTGTTGGTGGTCTTTTTTGTGAAATGAATATTTTAAATATACCGCAATATTCGGCATACGAGCCACGGCTTATACGTTGATTCTCAAGCTCAAGGTGACCACAATTCTGCATATAATGAGTCAATCTCCAGTCATATGTACCGTCAGAAATTTCCGGCAAATATCCACATTTCAGGTGTTTCAAAGGGTTTGATATAAATATATTTTTGTAAGGTTTATTCAATATTGAACACTACAGTGTACAAGTTTTACATGCAACCTTTGATTTGCGACAGACATGCAAGTATTTTTCAATGTTGTTTTCCAAAGCACAGAGTTCACAGTACCAAAAGTTCCACTTTTTGGTTTGAAAAACCGCCCCCCCCCCGTCTCTGGTCAGGTGACGGGCCTGATATGTCATGTTCAAACTTTGACAAGTCAGCAACTTAGCACAAAAAGTTCTCTGCAACATTGTAACAATGTTTTAATGCATTGCGCTGACATTTTGTCACGTCATTGTAGCACCGAAAATCGTTTGTGTTCATTTTTTACAGTGATTTGTATGATATTAGTCGCATATCATTCAAATTGATCACGATCATGATGTTTTGAAGACGTCAGGACGTATATACTGCTGTTTTGTTTCCATCATTCCAGTAACGTTCGTAAAGGTCACTAGGCCTACAATATGTTCCTTTAACATCACAAAATGTCTGTGGTCAAAACATTCGAAGACTGTTTCTTTCCGATTTTCAGATGAAAACTTTCTAGTATAGCGATATTATTATTTTTTTGGCTGGGTACACACACACTCTGTCCTTCAAAAGCCCTCCTTGGCGCTTGGTAATTGTAGTAATGCATGCAATGGGACCAGTCCACACTCCAGGTCAATGGTCAAACAGGTCAAACATAGTGAATTTGAGGTCATAAGACTTGCGCAGTAAAACTTGCTGCAAAAAGTTGAACATGGAATTTGAGTTGAAAAAAAAAAACTTGTTTAACGTTTTGCGAATTTGCAGGACGATAAATTGGTCCGACGTCATAGTTTCGGATTCTTGTTCACTAACTATCGTGCTGTAAGTATGAACTTAACAGAGATAACGTTTGTCTCATCTCCAAGGTTCCGTGAGCTGCTGGACAACAACTCGTCTCCCCTGATTATTTTCCGGTTGTGCAGCCGCTGGGCCGGCATCCGGCTGGACCTGCTGGTGGTGACGGTCCTTGCCACGGTCAGTACGGTGGTCGTCTTCATGCCGAACGCCTTCTCCGCGGCCTCGGCCGGCCTTGCCATCACCTACACACTCCGGGTAAGCATTGGCGACCGAAAGCCAAAGGAGGTTTCCAGGCTGTCTGTGCGTTCATCGTGGAGCTCCAAATTCAAAGCACCACAGGATTGGAGCCACTTTAGAATACATCATGACATATGCCAAGCATACGCACGCTGGTTCTGCTATTAACACCAATAGCTTCTGTAATAGATATGCTGCGTCCAGCGCAAGGAACTTGACAAACTTCAGGGACTGTATTAAAAAAAGGGAACATTGTGGTCTGAGATGAAGGCAAAACTAAGATTTTATTTACCTTTTAATATAGCGTAGAGTTTGCTTGAGAGCACTGGTCATGTGTATTCAAGTTACCAAAATGTCTGGTGGTTTTCGTAATATTCTTAACAACTTTTGTGGGCACAGTATGGATCATGATGGGAGACGGCTTTTGAAATGTGGAATTTGTCAATTTCTATTTTTCAGCTGACAGCCTGCATGCAGATGCTGATCCTGATGGCATCGGAGGCCGAAGCTCGCTTCACCTCGGTGGAGCGCGTCCTCGCCTACATGAAAGTAAGTCACAGGGACTTGTCCAAATCAACCGTCTGCGGCTGGGATCAGTGTGCTCAGCTTTGAGAAGTAGCCGCAGCCTTAGGTCACTGCAGGCGCACTCTCCCAGCCGCAACTTTAGCCCTGGGTCACTGCATCCAAATAGAGTGTTAATGTTTTAAGGTAGAAATTAAAAGACACAGTCCTACCGTATATTTCTTGAACTGAAACAGTGTTTGCCCTGTTGGCCAAGCTACATCAAACACAGCCTGGTCTATAGCAAGCGTGCGATACTGCATGTACTGTGTGCTATGTACGAGTACACTGTACGTGCATCTTTCTGGCGGTGACGTCACCATCAGCCTGGGAGCATGAATGGCCAAAAGGGGATTTTTTGTGGGCGGGGAAACGCAGGATCTTTTTGCGGTCACAATTAATCGGGTAAACATTAAATTTATGATATTTTTGAAATGGTTGCTTATTTATTGTTACATGTATTTTGAAATACTTCACGTGAACTAAATGTTTTCTATTTCTGTAACCCTTTAACGTCTGTGCATTGTCGCCATAGGTCCCGAATTTTCATGACCTGTTAAGAAGTCTGATTGATTTTCACAAGAAATGAAATGAATTCATGTATAAACCCGTCACAAAATAAAACAGTTCATGATAAGATCCCCCTAAAAGAAATCCACTTCTTTGGTTGAATGACAGCTTATAACATCTCCCGAGAGTTTGCTTTGATGTTTAACTGTTTAACAAAAGTCGCCGAGTGTTGTCTAGAAATTGGATTCTAAAAATTGCCCAGGAAACAACCTTCACACTTCTTGTCCGGGACTTCATCAACACCTAGCTGTCCAATCGCGACTTTTCTTGAAAGGGCCCAAGCAGCCCGCCGTACGAGAGGCTTGATTCTGGCAATCAAATGGCCATAACCACAGACGATCACACATGCATCAGGATCTTTTTCTGTAGTATTGAAGAAAGTCGTCAGAAGGTCGTCAGTTGCCCTCGTCAAGCTCCAATCACAATTTTTGACGATACTGTGATGTTTTCAGCATTCACATAGGCGACAAGTTTTCACTCTTAGGTTTTTTCATATTACAGGAGAGCTGAGACGGAGCTTTTATGTTAATTAGCCAGTTATTATTTTGCTCAAGTGATATGACCATGTATCATTCTCCCTCCATGGGCAGGGCCTGGAGATGGAGGCCGCCCTGACCATCAAGGATAAGAAACCGCCCGACAGCTGGCCACAGCGCGGAGACATCCGCTTCAAGCGGTACCAGATGCGATACCGCGAGGGCCTGCCCCTGGTCATCCGCGGCATCTCGCTGCACATCCGGCCCAAGGAGAAAGTCGGCATCGTGGGCCGCACAGGCTCAGGTGAGATGGGATCACTGTCACCAAGAGACGCACTCATTCCCAGTGTTTGCAGTTGAGACCTGTAGACTTTCAAAGACCTCATGACTTTTTTGTATCTGTTAAGATGTAACAAGATACAGGTGCGGTTGAAAGCTCATGCACTCACAGCAAACAAAAGTTAGTCATTTTGTGCTCAAAATGACTAATAGAGGTAAGTCGGGTCTCGGTGACTTCCTAAATCAAGACAGGACTAATATTTAGTCCACAGTGACTGACTTTGATCAAATTTGACTAATATTTGACTTTACTTTGATGAATAAATATTAGTCATCGGTTAGCTAATATATGTTAGTCATTGGCCTGTCTGACCAATTGAAGTTGGTCATTTTAGACAAAGAGCTGGACTAACTTTTATTAGTCAAATTTTGTTTACAGTGAATGGCAGTGTTAAGGCTGTGCCAATTTTTGATAATCACACTTTTATCCTGTAGCTGACCAGCCAATACATCCCCATTATTTACACGTGAAGAAATTATTAAAGTAGAGCAGACGTCGTGATTGAGAAGATATAGAAGAGGAATTCCTAAGTATGTTTTGAAAAAAAATCAAAGTTAACGTAAAAAGAGTAGAACTCTTCCCGAGGCGTTGTTAGGACCTTGTGAAGATCCTTTCGAAATTGGTGACACGCATACATGCGTGCATCCCGGTTGCCAGTAGCTCTCTTGCCGTATCTTATTCTTCATGCATCAAAATTCCACATCACGGGTTGGTTTCTCGACAGGGAAATCCTCCCTGGCTGTTGCCCTCTTTCGGCTGTGCGAGGGAGCGGCTGGCGACATCATCATCGACGACGTCAACATCCGCGAGATCGGACTGCACGATCTGCGCCAGAAGGTCTCCATCATTCCCCAGGACCCTGTCTTGTTCATTGGGACCGTCAGGTGAGGAACCCCTGCTCTGCAGAGCAAAAGATGGTGCATTTTTATCTTGGATCGGTACCCCTTGCGTAAACACATACCGGTACCGCGAAGTCATTACGTGGACAATTTTTGCTCACCCCAACTGGGGTGCAAATTCTCAACGACGACAAAAATATTGTCCATTCGGGGCCGGTCAGGGCACAGATTTATTCAGGTCTCTGCCAAGAGCACGGACGGCCAATTTGGTCTCTGCCAAGAGCACGGACGGCCAATTTCCTTGAATGACCAATTGATTTCCCCCAACCTTCTCTGGTTTCAAATGCCCAGACACGTTTATTTCTTCACTTGCCGATGAGTCCCTTTTGATGCGAAAGCTTCACTCTGATTCATGCATTTCAGGTACAACTTGGATCCCTTTAAGCAGCATTCAGAAAAGAACATCTGGCAAGCCCTCAAGCGCTCGTACATGGCCGACAAGGTATAATGTCAAGTCTGTTCTTCTTTCATTTCCTGCGACATGAGACAGTGTCTCTCTTTAGTCCAGACACTCCTTACTCGTAGGAAGCCCTCAACCTCAAATTTTAACTTCTTACAGTGCATCAGTTCAAAATTACCTTGGCATCCTTGGCTGTCTTCTTTTCTTCAACTTGCACCAGTTTTACATGATTTTTACATGATGCACAGAGACAATTTGACACTCGTTCAAGTTCAGCTTTTCTGTTATGTTGTACCGGGAAATAGCCCTCAAAGTGAAGACTGTGATTCCTTTTTGGATATCAAAAAAACTGTTAAAGTTGAGTATGTCACGAGTCCCTGAAAGTCCATCACAACATCTAGTCGTTCAGTCTCAAGCAACGGCAGTGGAAAGATTGTCAAAGTGGGGGGGGGTCAGTTGTGAGATCACCAGGCATCAGCTATTCATAGGCCCATCCATTATTAAAGCCCCACCCCCAGTATAGGACCTGCAAAAAGTGGGGGGGGGGCATGCCCAAAGTCGGAAAAGTGGGGGAAGGCACTGCACCCTGCTTGTCCCCAGTGCTCTCAAGCCAAGTCATAGGCCATTGTAATGTACTCTGCAAACGCATGCATTTGTTTGCCTTGTCAAAAAGACACGAGGCCAGGTCCGTTAACATATAGCCATCGGTAATGAGGGTAACCCGTTCAGAGGAAGCGGATCATTTGAGACTCTCACGGTGAAAAAAACATGGAGGAGTGAGGAGAACCCTCGGGTAAATTTACAATGTATCAGAGAACTTACGAATCGGTGAGGGACTGAAAATCCATTCCACATGCGGACCTTGGCGGGATTCGAACCCGGGCCACATAGATGTAAGGCAAGGAAAGGGCCACTACGCCCACCAGACTTGCGAATGAAATTAGCGAAAGGAGTGGAGAGGAATTAAAATCTCTGCAATCGTGTTAGTCTTGCATCGTGACACGTGTTCATTCTGTTCTTGCAAGGATTTTGACTTATTGCTATAGAGTTTGACCCATACCCCCCTCGATCTTGCCTTCTTTACTTCTGTACAGATTGGATCACTAGAGGGCAAGCTGGACGCCCCTGTCGTCGAGGGTGGAGATAACTTCTCCGTTGGAGAGCGCCAACTCTTGTGCATGGCCAGAGCTCTGCTTAGGAACAGCAAGGTCTCGTTTCGTTTCACAGCATTCATGAATCCTGCAGACTGTTTATACACACTGGTCGAGAGCCCATCAGAGAGGCATTTTTCTAACTAGCTGATCAATCCACCAACTGGTTGTGCAGACTTTTTCGCACAATAACTTTGGACTCCTCTTCAGTGAACTCTCCAACTCGAAAATCAATCGCAGACTAGATTACCGAAACCAAGGCATGCCTAGGTTTCGGTTCCACACCACCTCGGTGCTGCTGCGCTCTGTGCCACAAAGCTAAGTATATGCACCACTTGTGCTGCTCTCCGTGTGAGACTTCGAGCGCAGCATGCTGAGACACATACTTTTGAAATGGCCTATTACAGGTGTGTTTCAAGAAATACAAGACAGTTGAACTGGGAGAACAAAATCACTGGAAAGCCAATGGTGTTTCGTCTTGTGAATGGGAGTAAACGTGGGCTCGAGCAGTTTAAACGGTCGAGTACAATTAGAACTGGCTCGGGGTCTGGTACTTTGAGATGTAAAGGACCGGGCCAACGGCAAGGTCCGTTATCTTCGTCTGGCCCCATTCGTTGCTCGTTTAAACCCATGCCCCATTTTACTGCCGACACAAGGGTGCAGCTCTCAGAACACAACGAATGAACCTTCTGTACTGATATATAAAAATTGTCAAGTTCTACAGGAACACAGATATGTCACCTTGGACGTCCTTTGACCTCTGCACCTTTGATTCTCCCACAGATCCTTATGTTGGACGAGGCCACGGCTGCCATTGACACGGAGACAGACTCGCTGATCCAGGCCACTATCCGTGAGGCCTTCAGTGAATGCACTATGCTGACCATCGCCCACCGGCTCAACACCATCATGGACTCGGACCGCATCCTGGTCATGGATGACGGCAGGGTGAGTGTTGGCTCGGGTGGGAGCACCCGTGGATTGAAAAGGAAAGGTAGACAGTTGGCGCCTCTCAGCTTTCAAAATAGTGGACCGATCGACCCAAAGGCCTTTCTGTTCCATAAGAAATCAATTTAAACTTGGCAAGCATATAGAGATGTCTGTCATAAGTACATGTACATCTCATGTAATCTCTGAACTTTCAGGCCAGTTCAACAATAAAGTGGTTGTCGTTTTGGTAGTATTGTGCTGTACACTCTCATCCATGTCTGCCAGTATCCATTGGACATGTGAATGGGGTAAAGTTAATCATTTTGTGGCCTACGAGAACCGAGTATACGGTTATCGTATATCGCAACAGATGCCACCAGTGTTGTATTCGAGTCCGTCACAAAGTCATTCAGTCTTAAGCTAATTCACAAGCTATTCAAATGAGCTGTGACAAAAGCATTCTGTTGTCATTGTTCACCCTGTAGCTTGTGACTAGCCCTGTGAAGGGACTTGTGAGAGGACATGTGATGGACTCGAATACAACACTGGATGTCACAATAACTGCGAGACACCAGTGAAAAAATGCCGATGAAAAATGCATACAATGATATTTGAGAAAAGATATTGGCGGGAGCAGCTCTTTTAGGATTAACTGAAGAGAAAAAGAGAAGCTGGAGGCTACACGAGCCCGCTACAGTGCAGCCCACCCCCCAGTGTTCCGCACTCAGAAATTAAAGAAAACAGAGAACATTGTATTTTTTAACACTGTGACTGAACTCATTGAGTTTTCCTCTACAAAAGAAGGCCCCATGCATCCCTTGCGCGCTAGACCCAAGTTAAGGTGCTCCCAATGAGTCATGAAAAAGTGACAACATGGGTCTAAGCTCTATATTTCCTCCTTTTTTTGTGACAGGTTGCAGAGTTTGACAGGCCGTCTGTCCTGCTGTCTAAGCCCGACTCTCACTTCAGCCGCATGGTGGCCGCCGCAGAATCGTCGGAAGACTGAGCCTAATCACTCTGCAGATGTGATATTATGCAAGCAGTAAATGATGCGTTCATTTAAATAACTGATTAATTGATCACGTAACCGACAATACGGCTGAAACGCTGTCTGTGAACAGGCGGGATCACTTTGGAAGACCTCAACCGAATCTCTGAAATACTCGAACATCCACTGGCATTCTCGCATCACTAGCGGGAGTCTTCTTGTCCAGTTTTTGCAGATGATAATGAATTTCGAGCTGAAATGAGTAAAATATACATTCTTTTATTTGTCTTAGGAAGTCTTACACCGAAATAAGTGACCAGCAGTATATGTACTTCGTGTCATTTAAACATAAACCAGGACTGTACTGCAATCGTGTAAGTTGTTTTGGAGCCTTTAAGAGAAGGAAATCAGATGTAAACCACTTAAATATCGCTGGACAACTTGTATTCGTTCATGGATAATTAGTACTTTTTAGAAAGATAAAGGAACCTTCTCGATTAGTGACTGTATGTTGCTAGTCCTTCAATCTGAATACGCTCAATCAGCAAGTAAGTTTCACTGCATTAACCAATATCAGTTAGTTTTTAAAAGCATTACAACCATTCACCGTAGTTGGTCTATAAAGTCATCAAGTTTATACTTTTTTCTAGATACGAACGTGCATTGATATCTAAATACTGATAGTTGATAACCTGTAGGCGGAGTAGTTCCTTAGAGTAAAAGAATCCACTGAAATAGAACTCTTTTGACTTGCGTCCTAAAATGTCGTATGGGGGTAATTACAACTTTGATGAAGTACAAATGTAACTCCCAAGTAAAGAGTTTGTTAGCGTCTATCATAAATATACTGTCAGTTGCGCAACATGTGTGAATAATCTTTGCTTTGAATTAATCTTAAATGCAGTTCAAAGATAGTAGGTTAGTCTTTTCATTTCTAGTACTATGCATTTGTACATGTTCAACGTGTTAACCGTAGTCTTAGTCTCGCAACTTTATGTAAAAAGCAACTTCCCAAAAGGTAAAATTGTCAACATGGACCCTCCATCATCTTTTTGGTAGGCATGATAATTTACACAATGAGCGACTAACTTATGTCAAGACTAGTAATGCTAGTCAAACCGTACTATATTTCTCAACGTTCAGTGTCATGTCGATAATGTCTTCACGATGAAAAAGAAAAAAAAAAGCATGCCTAAGTCCGATCATTAGTTTCATAAGGCACTGCTCAGTGTTCCACCAATTTAAAAAAATTCAACCAACAATGACTGAACTTTCTGATTAGAGGCTTCCGCGACATAGTTTATCTACGTTGCGGGGCTAGGTACAGGATGGTTAAAGACATTGGCATATAATCCCGAGGGGATAGGGGTAATATATAACCCCTATCTTTTGACAGGGGAGGATGGGTCATTGAATCATCACCCCAATATTTCGTGTTGAGAAAAATATTAAAGCGGCTTGTGAAAAATTATTTGGACTTCCCAACAAACAAAAATGTATTCATTAGCACTCAAAAAGGAAGAACATTTTTTAATAATGTGATCATTCAAAACTATCAAATATAAATTTCAGGCAAATTCACGGTTTATTGAATAGTCAGAAAACATCACCAAAAAACAAAAACAATAAACTTGAAATAACTGAAATCACATTTTTTGATTATTTGGAAAAACACATGTACGTGTTGTTCTAAAGGTCTGGAAACAACCGCCAACTTGTAGATTAACCATAAAAATAGCCGTTTTTAAATTTAAAGTTTATGTACAGTTGTCTGGAATTCTTTAATTAGCCTGGCAAATTGACGTAGTCGTTTGTGAAACCTTCACGATTTGCAAACAAAAGTCACAATGGGAAACAGAGGTAAGAGGATACAACAAATAAAGTACCCTTGCTACTCGAATTTTACCTCCATTTTAGCTTTGTAACTGATTGAATGCCATCAGACTGAAAAAAAAATAAGGGACCCTCATAAACATTCAAAATACCCAAGAACCACACCTTCCAAAAAGAAAAATATGGAGACAAAAGAAAAAAACCTGAAACATGGAGAGTGCAAGAAATGAAACACAGGAGTATCGAGTTACTTCAAAGTGATGCTTGACGTCAAAGTTTAAGTGCAGTGAAGAAAAACAAAACTTCTTTAATACGGGCCTTTCACAATAGCGCACCTCCAAGAGTTTGAAATACACTGGCCAATCACTATGCGCCAAATCTGGCGACCCAATGCGGGTCGACAATGGGGTTGCCAGATTTCACACACCGTGATTGGAGGACGGGTTGCAAACTCTTGGGGGCGTGCTATTATGGATTGCCCGAATTTGCGCTGAGCTGATTAACATGTGGAGTTAGAAGATTCAGGCCACTGTGCAGGGACAACATTTCAAGTCACTTTTTTTCACCAGGCCAGGGGGTATATAATTTTTAACCACTCAGCACACAATTTTTTGGGGAAATGATTTTAAGAGATCCTTGATAGGCACAAGCACACAGGTTTCTGGCCTGAAGAATGAACATACTTGTAGATTATGAAGACCAATGCTGTACTTGTTTCGCTTGGTAACAGATATGAATCAAAGTTTGAGCCTGGTACTCGGAGGAACTGAATTCGAACTGCTCAGAAAAATACGGGCAAACTTACAAATGAATGCAGCGTTTTAGAAAAGAACTGTGCCGTGAAATAGCAGCATATTTCAACAGCAGCACGAGCGGGCAGGAGCGCCACAAAATCCCGCGCAACCTGTGAAATATTTCGCAGTACAGCTAGCAAAGATTCTTAGCTACAAATGGGAAGAAATAAGGCAGAGCACGCAAGAAAACGTAAAATATCCCTCGCTCGAGTGCAAAATGTCCAATACACATGTATATATAAACAGCCCAGACATCCTTGCCCAAGATTTTAGTCTTGGCAACAGTAACTTTCACCGTAGCTTAAATATTTCGGTTAACAATCATATTGCTGGCCTTTCACATCTTTCAAAATGCTGATATTTTTCTCTTACGTCGGTGATCTGTCCGTCTTTATATAATTTGTCAAGAGTTACACATACAAGTACTAAAGAAAACCTGATGGTTATCAAATACATGTACTAATCGTAGTATTAAGAGTGACATCGATTAGATATCTTCATGTAACTGAGATTCAGAGGCAAATGACATTGTTTATAAAACACAAGTAATTGACAACAAATGTACAAGCTCCGATGCCAGGCTGTGGACATCAGAATGAAATACGGTCGCACTGGGATACAACAATATCATGTCTATGGGAAGTTGTGGACGCAGGGAATTGGGAGTTGAGTGGAAGGGGGGGAGGTCTTTGGAATGTAATGATGCGTTGCCGCAGAAATAAATTGACATGAGCCATCCATCTGCTTTGTGAGTCATGACAGATGGCGACTGTATTTTATGGCCTATGCCAAACTCACCTGGTGCAATTTGGAGAAAACTTCTTCAAATCCTACAAAAATCCACCGTTGTGCATGACACAAACAACGCCCGCTTGGTTAGACTTCATTCTTAAGAGACAACAATCCCAAGTAAAAAAAAAGAGCTGAAATCTACCTTCCCTGATCTAGCAAAGTCCTTAAAAATCTCACTGTGGATTATGAAGGATTTGGGGAAACACAACTTAATAGTTATGGAGGGGGTATTACATTGGTACAAATGGCTTTACGGGCCTTCAGCGTACACAGACAATAAATGATTACATGCATTCACCATTTTCGCAACCATTCTACACTGTGCAACCCGAATTTGAAAAAGGAGTCATTGAAAATCTCTGGAGCTTTGTCGAAGGACAGAGCTATCCAAAGCCAGCCTGTGATGCAAAATGGTTTCCAAATGTTGCGAGTCCATCCAATTTCCCTAAGTCACTTCAACCGAGGAACCCATTCAGAAGGCAGTTGTGATGGCTCTATATGAAAAGCTACGCTGAAGAGAAGACCGTCCTCGGATGCGCGCGTGGGGGATGCCTAGGTACTGGCTGGGTCGGGCTGGGGGATCCTGAGGGCAGCTTGCTGGGCGGCTCCATCGAGATTTGCAAGTTGTTGTCGTGGGTATGTACGCTGGCCTACCAGGGGAGGGGAGATTTCTGTGGTCGTTATGTGGAGGGGTCAAGGTCATGCTGGGTCTGTCTACTGCATCCTGATTGACTGGATAATCTGAAAGATGGCTGGAGGGGGAAGAGAAAAAAAAACAGATGGAAAAGGTGACCCAACTGAACGAGATCTTGAGCGCTCCAAACAATGTCATCAGGAAGGTGGTATCCGAGTGTCTCTTGAACACATTGGAGGGCAATGTGCCACTTAGAATCCCTGCTTCCACTCGATGGCAGATGAGATGTGAACACCCAGTTTCACATGCTCGCAAGACCCCAGGCTCAACCCTAGCACATGCACTTACAGGTCTCTATTCTCGCAAGGAACCGCAAATCACAAATCCACGGGCCCATGTTTGTCTACTGGCAATGACATTCAAGGTGTGCTGAAACCAAGTAGAATGCACACAGTAGTCACCGAGCTCTACCTTCCTCAAGCCAATTCTGTGTTTCATTGAAGTAAGGCCATTCGGGGGAAGAATGACATCACCGAAGTTCTAACTTTACCAGTGCACGTGAGCTAGTGCAGGACTGTGCGGATGGGGAACACCATTCACCTACGAAATTGTTCATCCCAAATGACCCATGGCACACTAAAGCTTGTGTACGCTCAATCGGTACACCCCAATGGCTTGTTCTTGTGATCAGTGATCCAACGCTAGTTCTGACACTAGAGCTCACCTTTGGGATGACTGATTGAGATCAAGATCCATGTTAAACAAAAAGGCCCTTAGATCTCATTCCATGATGTACACAGACTCAGTGCCAAGTTAAGTCACTGTACGTTCTACAGCATGTCTACCTGGGGCCAATTTCATGGAGCTGCTTATGCACAAAATTTGCTTAAGCGCAAAAAAACCTTGCTTAAAAACAAAGGTTACCAGCTAAAATTCTATGTGATTGTCATGCTAATCAAAGGACAGGTAAACACCATTCCAAAAACAATATACATTACATGGAGTTTTGGCTGGTAACCTGATTTGTCAAGCAAGGTTTTTCACGCTTAAGCAAATTTTGTGCTTAAGCAGCTCTATGAAATTGGCCCCTGTTGGAGGTTCACACTGCAATCATTGCCCAATTGGAATCACTTCCAGTGTTCCTGTTGGCCCATCAAGTTTTACTTGTCTCCCTCCAAGTTAAAAAAGATGGCCACCAAGCCTTCAACCACAGTCACCGAGATTAAAATCTTCACATTAACCCCATTCCGGAATATTTCAACTGATGCAGTGTAATTGTGGTGAACAAACCCCTCCAGGAGGGTCAATATGCTGCTTCTGACTCCAAATGTGGCAAAGACGCAAAGGAATCTACAAAATTTTTGTCAAGGTCCTGAGGTGAGTCACAAAACCCTTTTTCAATTATTTGTCAGTTCCTTTCAAGTCTAAGAGTTAAAAACTTGGATAACACTGACTCTGCTATCATCTTTACTCCACTCTATATTTAGTACTTGACCCAAATGATTGGTGTTGTAGATAAATCTGATAATGGGGAACAAGGCACAAACAGCTTTAACCACATCAGAGAAACCAAGTGTCAGCTTTCCCACAGCTGGGACAAATTCTTCAAATTACTACTCAGTTTTTTTGGGCCATTTGCTTTTTTTTGTGTGGAGGTGCACGTTCCCTGGCTCATGCGTCAGAGAAACGAGGCAGGGAGTTTTCTGCTTGATCTCCCTTGGAGAGGCGGACCACATGTCTGTCGTTGCCGGAGCACGCTTATCACGGAATGTGCGCGAGTAATTTTGTGAATGGGTAGCATCTTTGCCTGAATGCTGGATTCAGGGTGCCACCGGGGTGTGACTGTCACTCCAGGCTCCCAATTTAAACCACGGGTGGTGGGAGGGGGTGGGTTGGGTGGGGTGTGAGGGCACAATGCTGGGGCATGGGGAAAATGTGGGGTGACTGGGTAACGTACCTGATCCACAGACAACAAAGATGAACAGACCAAGTAACCACGGGGCAACTGGGTATTTGTCGTCTGTTGGTTTCTGTTGAAAGAAGAATGAAATCTTAACATGATGAAAAACACTCGCAAGAACACCACTTGATCGGCCTCACTCTGAGTTTAGCAAGGTAAACAAGTTCCATATTTGGCCAACGTGGTTCTCAACTGCGAACAAAATTGATGCCGCCTCACTTCACATTCTCATTAAAGACAAATCCATTTCACCTGTAAAAAATAGCATCTGTCTGAAAAACACTGAAATATTTGTCAATGAAATCTGAGAATTGTGGTGACCTGGCACAAAACACCTTCCCAACCAAAACTGCCAAGTCCAATAGGATATGCCATAAGCAGGGCCCTAGGGCTTGAGAGACTTTGCAGGAATCAACATAATCAAAAAAGTAAGTGACAACACTGCTGTTAGAAAACTCGGTACAAAGAAATTTATGGGAGTACACATCCAGTCGTGCCCGTGACACCATTCTTTCTGGTAAGCTGTCATTTTGAAGAAAAACAATGGAAAAACACTATTGGTTTTAATTCAGTGAAGCACACACAAGAGTTGAGAAGAGTGCAGTTTGTATAAATTTGTCGGTTCAGTGCATGACATTGCATACATGGTGTAGCTGGCGTTGGATGACTATGAATGTGTTTGAGATGCTGAATTCGGGCAAAATTCTAAACACATCCAATGACACGAATGACTTGGCAACTTCCTATTTGAAATCAAGATTTTTTAAATACATGTTCGTGTATAATGTCACAGTATTCACTGATCTGAACTAAAAAAAGCAGCTCTAGTCCCAGCCAATTGGGCTCATCAGGACGGCGTTTATCTCCGGTTTCCTTGGCATGAAATGACTGAGAATATTTCTATTCCCCCTAGATGGGATGCCGGACCATCACAGGTTGCTTCCCCAGCTAATGCTGGTACCCATTTATTCTCCTGGGTGGAGAGAGGCAAGCATGGGGAAGTGGCTTGCCAAGGGCCACAAGATACTGCCACCAGTTGGAATGGAGCCTCCAACCCTATGATTGGATGCCACACTGAGCTAAGCTTCATAATTTTTTTCATAAGGGACTAGGTTAATTGTAAAGTTAGGCATTTTTCTTTAGGTCATGAACGTGAAAACTGCAACAAATTGAGCATAAGCGTCAAGGTTTTCCCGCAAGAATTTAGGAAAATAACGACATTTGAAATGCCAACAGCCAACATGGCTGCCATTGCCATTACCGCTTGAGTTTATGTCAAAATTATTTCTGATTGGTATTTTGGAAAATTGCCATGTTAAACAGAAAATTTGCCATGGTGTATCGACAGAGATTGTAACTTTGGCGAAGCTTTATTTATGTTATTTTTTTTGCATAAATGGTTTCATCGGCAGAACTGGACTCCCCTACCCACCAAATTCAACACATCCAGTGCAAGATTTGACCGGAGAATCTTCTTGATCCAAATTAAAGGAAAATTTCATGTAGATCTGGGGTAGCTTGTTTCCTGTAAATTTGATCAATCAGAGCAATTTGTATTGAAGTTTTAGGCCAATATTCAATATAGACTCAGAGATCGATGTCATCTGTGAACCGTGATCTAAAGGTAGGTATGTACATGTAGTTAAAAAAATTATGTCATCGTTGCACAATCGAGCGGTGTCTGCATAGTCTAGCATCATCCCTAGATTGTGGTTTGGTCCTGGCTCTACTGAGTAGAGCGTTAGTATTCCTCTTTTTCAACTTTGGACGGGATCGTCATACTAACGCTCCACACCTGTTTATAGTAAGGCGACAACAGTTTTCAAAAATTCCAAAGACTCACCAAAAATACCTTTATCACCACCTACTGGCCTCCGTAAATGCCAACGCCAAACATTTCGGGCTTCAATGATATTTCTGACTTCAAAATCTGTCCAAATCCGACAGTTTTCGCACAGCACTTTCAACTTTTCGCCGCCTCCTCCCATTCAAATACGCGCGTGTTTCTGGTGCAATAACTTTATGGCCACGATGAATATGGTCCTCTAACGAAACCACAGGAGAGGCCCATATGTAGTCAGGGCACAAGACATATTGACCAGGAAACAGTCATTGGTAGAACTCCCAAATGTCACGATCAGCAAGTCATGTGTACAGACCACGTAAAGCCCACTCACATGACCCATGCGTACATCTGGTCTTGGAGGACCATGTTCGTTTGCTCAACTGAGTAGGATATGGAACTCCTCCCTTGCCTTCAAACAAGACGATTCGTAGAGTCACAGTTACTCAGACTAGAGTTTATTTAACTGTAATCCCCTAGGGTGTATGTAAAATCATATTGAAATTGGAGGATTTACCATGTTCATTATTAAGTCTGTCCATCATGCGTCACGTCATATTTGCCTTGCGACTTACCGATGATTTTGGAACATTTCCACGTTTCTCCACATTTTTTGATGCCTTCTCGTTTGCAAGTCTCATTCTTTGTTTACTCGGCATCTTGCCACTGGTTGTCAGACCCTTCAATTTTTTAAAAATGGGAAAAATGTCCCGAATTCGCTAACAGATTTTCAAGAACACGTAGCAGTCTCTGCGTAAACCTTCAGGTCAAAGGTCGAACCTTACAACCCATCCTGCATTTTGTTCATCCACAAAATACAGTACTTAATAAATTATAGATAGTTTAGAATTAAACCATAATTTGCTTGAATAGAAATCATTTTCAAATTAAAAAAAATTGTGTACGTTCATTTTGTAATAAAACGGCACCAAACCCCTTCATATATTGCCCGCGTATTGATATTTATGATAAATAAGGTAACTGGTCCTCAATCTCGTGAGGAGACTAGTCATGTAATAGTCTCTGCTCAAGGTCCAAACATTTATCCCTCACTGATGCGTGTTATGGGCGTATCGTCAACGTCAGGGTGGGTAAGGCATGGAGTTAGAAAAAAGAGATGGGACTGTGTACAACTGAAGTAAAAGTTCATTATTTGCTGTCAGCGCCCCCTCGTAAAAATACAACATCGTGTGTACCTCCGCCCAGATACACGACAAACAAACAAAATTGGTCTGTAGTTTTTATAGTTCATAAAATAATTGCTCTGCCTAGCTGGACCCAAAACCTGGATACGCGACTACGGGGCGGGGGGATATTATTGCCCAGAGGAGACGGGTATTTTAGCGTTTTTGAAGCATGGTGGACACAATAAGAGGGCACTGTTTGAAATGGGTACATTTGGAGTTAACATCACAGACATCACAGAGCTACTTATGATGTCTGTGGTTAAATAACACAAAGATTTGGCCAAATAGCGCCCTCCTATTGTGTCGGTCATCCTACCCAACAAGAAGCTAATGGCAACATACTCCCTCATCATTTCGCAATTGTCGTACAGATTCTGTGGGAAACTGAGTTGGCTTGTGCGACTAATACAAATAAAAATCTGTTGTTTAGATGGGCTACCTAACTTGGAATACATGTATAATGAGTGAAAAAATAAAAAAAATAAAAGGGTTTTCTTTGCTCTTTCATATTTTTAGGTTAAAAGGTGCATGAAATCCTTCCCAAAATGTTGGCCCCTGAAAACGTTTGCCTTCTCTCAGTAGTTCCTCCTTGTTGAAGCCATGTAACACATTTGCCGGGTGTGGATTTATCAGAATTTGTGTCCAACGTAGGGCTTACATGAACTAATTCCTTCCAGAACGTCACTTACCCACTCTGGCCATATAATTTGATAAGTCTCACAACTTCACCTGGGGGCCAATTTGCCTGCCCCCAGTCGGTTTAATCAATGAACAAAGACAAGTTGACACCAAATATATCTCGATAATCACTACCTCTTTAATTAACTCCCTTTAAACGCTATAGATAGAGATTAAGTAGAAATACTCAGCACTACCTGGTAGATTGACGCACTAAATATAAATTGGCTGAGAATCAGTCACGGCAATATTAAAGTGCAAGATTTCAACTTTTTGTTGCCAAGCTAAGAAGATATTTACTTAAACGGCTATAAAAGCTCTACTAATTCTACTAAGCAAAAAATTTATTCTGCTTGCTTCTTGATCATTACTGAAATCACTTAGCTATGGGAGAGACAGACACGCTATGAAACAACAGTTCTACTTCTATTATTGGTAATGTCACTAACGAGGACTAACAGGGAATATTAAAATGAACCTATTAAGTGAGCAACTCCACAAAGTTTTCGAAGAGAAAAGAGAAGATCGGTACTTTTTCTCAAAAGGACATGCACCGTCTATCGACCACCGCCCTTATTAGTTTTCCATACTAGGCACTTGTTCGTCTGCACTCAGTTTATTCATTTTCAAGGACAGGATTATTCTATTGCAATAACGTAAGGAGAGAACAGACAATGAAACACGTAAAGAACGTTGCTAATATCAACGTGAATTCCAGGACCGAGCTGTAATGCTTTGAACAACAGAGGGCGCTATTATCAAAGCATTTTCTGGACTAAAAAAAGTTGGAACCAAATTTCTCGGTCCCGACTTTTCAAACTGTCCCGACTTTGTTGGTTTGTTTTCTAACTCTGGTACCGGGATTGTAGGTGTCCGGACACATTTCAACAAACAGACCCAAAAATTCCAGCAATTCAAAAAGTTTTTTTCTGTTTACATTTTGTGAATTATTCTTTTATAAATTTACTTGTGTGCCGCCGCGAACTGCAGTTTTAGCGGCCACGTAAAAACAGGACTTTGACGTCAAAAGAGCAGACCGCAATGTATGACCAGCGCGTAGTCTCAGGCGTTCTTGGGTGGCGGTGTGGCCGAAGTGAAGAAGTCCACTTCTCCCTGCATTGCTCTCTGGTAGATGACTTTGGCCTCGGGCCAGAACACCTCGTAGTAATGAGCATTTGCATCGATGAACTCTGCGAGCTTAGACTTGTGTTGTGGCAGGTTATCCTCGATCCAGAAGCTGTACACGTTCTTGTCGCTCTGTCGAAAAAGGAAATTTGTGCCGTTCAGCGAGCTACTTCACCGCATTGTCTTTGCCCCCTTGCGGGGCGGGGGATAAAATTCTTTTGGTTGCTCAGTTTCTGTCTTCGTCAGTTTCTACGTGTAATTGTCGTCTTTTCGAGCTCTTTTCTTTACAGTGTTTTCCACTCATCCTCTTTTCATTACAGTATTTAACTCAACGAGGGACACTTTATGAATAAGTCAAAGGGAGAGCTGTTTTGCTATGACTGTGTCAAAATAAGTTGAGCTTTGGGAACGAATTTGGAGTGGAGGCCACTCAATTGCTCCCATGTATGGACCAGTTGAACTTACGATGCCCGATTTGATCTGCTCGGCCAGCCATCCCCACAATTGGTCGCACGGCAGCATGGCTATCAACAGGTAGATTGGATCGTTGGTTTCGGCCACGTGCTTTTCGTATGCAGAGTAGGAAGCAGCAGCTGTTCCCATAGAAACCCCTGTCGGATCCCGGATGTGCCACTCGTCGAACATGGTCTGCGTGTAACTTGAGAGACGATGGAACAATGTCATGTGACCACGAAAAAAAAAAAACACATTCTCATTAACTGGCCGAACAATCATTGTCCGATTTTTTAATGAAATACGCACAGGTTTACAACCAATGACTGTTTATATCGATCTGCAAACGTTTGCCTTACTCGAAAAGAACACGCACGGGAAATCTTTATGACAAAATGTGGATACACTATGCACACGTACTTGCCTATGGTAAAAATCATTTTATGGCAAGTCTTGAGAGGAGACTATTGTTCACGCCTCCTGGAAGCTTTCCCTCCTGGAAGCTTTTCAGACTTTACGTCACGTACATGCATGTATGTTCAGTCCAATGCCATCGTACACCACTCAGTTGAGAGTTAGCACATGTGCAGTCGATCATTGTGGACATTGGACACCGTCCCGACCACTTCTTTCCGCGCATGGAGACCATTATATAGCAAACTTTTACAAAATGTGAAATATCTTTGCAAATGGATTTTGGTATATAGTCGTTTGCCTGTTGGCGTCGCCATTTTAAAGAGCGACAGAAATTGACCGCGACTTGGCAGAATTTTATCGCATGCGCACGAAGTAAGTGGAAGGGTTGAACATATGTGACTTTCCCTCGAAAAACAATACACTCTAAAGCTGCTATTATAACCTTTGGTTTCCCAGCATTTGTAAAACAAATTTGCGGCCTGAGTGCTGAGTCAGAGTCTCGCGTGCATTATATGGAGAGGGCCAAAACTCGGTGGTACCTTTTGTAACTGTCGATGCGTCCTTGGATGAATTTACTCATCGCGAGATCGCTCGTTTTACCCGCGGCAGTCAGGTAGTAGGTCGTTGCGTTGTAGCAGTACACCGCATCCTGCACAGTGTAGCCTCCTACAATTCGTACGGTTGAAAAAAAAATGCCGTCAGTCCTCATGGTTTTAAATGCACTTTGTTGAGAGAATTGGCCTCGAGCGCTGCTTGACCAAGAGAGGGCGTTATTTCCCTAGCAACGGAGGCTCCTTTGTACTGACTGCACAATTCACGAACAACTGGGAAACTCAAGCGTTGCAGTCGCGTCGCTACCAACAAAACAATACTCCTGACCAACGGGGCTCTTTTCCACCGATGAGGGGGTGCTTCTGCTCGAGTGGGATATCATAGATTGCCCTGTGCTGAGAGGTGCCAGTGGCTCTGGTTTTCAATCTCAGTCTGCAAAGATCAACGATCCCTCACAATTAAGCCAAAACAACATTTGTACAGCACGTAAACGCAAAACATCCGTGGAAGTTTACCGCGAGAGGCGATTAGGGGGCTTCTAGTACACTGCCAAGTTGTACAACTTGGGGCCTGTTTGTCTCACACGGATCATAATCGCTATCTCAGTGATCCGACAATGGTAAACAGACACCAAAACTCGCCTAAAGGACAGAGCGAACCAGCTTTAGGATCAATGATCACGATCCAGATCCGGATGAACCCATCATGTAGGAAGGTGAAACAAACCAGCTCTTAATGACAGCAGCCTGCTGCTACTGCATGAAGCATGGCACTCGAGTCCTAACTTCAAATTCACACCAGGATTCGGAATTTCGTAGGGCGTGCGTAATCTTTACCTCGGTGTTCTAGGAAGTAGAATATAATTCGTCGTTTAATAATAATTCATTTTGCACATTACCTGCCCAAATTCACACCAAGCTTTTTCGGAATATACGCTCACCTTGCGAAGAGCAGTAACAACTCCTGGTCTCCTAATGTAAATCACGCAAACAGGGGTCGACCAGTCGTATGTTTATTCACCGTATGGGACTCAGGAGCTAGGTTGGCGTAGTGATTCTTTCCTCGCCTTCCACCTCTGCGGCCTGGGTTTCATTCCCGGCTGGATCCATGTGTGTATTTGGTTTTCAGTCCCTACCCTATTCCATGGGTTTTACCCAAGACATTCTCCTGGGGTTTTCCTACAACTAAAACCGCAACATCAATCTTCTCATTGTCTCCTCTCCAAAGGTTTCCTCGGGCTTTCGAGCTACAGTGCCTAGTGCACTTTAAGGATCTAGCTTGGCAAAACGAGCCAGTGATCGCCAGCCACGCGCCGATACCGACAAACTCACCGTAATCGGTAGGGTCAAGCAGACCACTCTTTATACCCTGGATGAACTCTGTATTAAGCGCCTCCTTGGCCTGGACCTGACTGCCATCCCATAGCCACTCCGACAGCTCTTTCCACTCCTGCGGGCGGCCGTCCACGACGGTCACTTCGGTCGGCTTTTTGGCCGCACGTTTGGCGGCCAGCAGTTCCGTGACGGTCTGCGGCAGGTGCTGGAGAACGAAGGCCGCGCCGCTAGCGCTGCGAGGGCTGCGGACATTTTTCACACTTTTTTGACGCAGTGACATGGTGCACGGAGCTAACGCGAAAACCCCACTTTTCGGTGCTTCAACAAACCACCAAGCGATTTCTGTTCAGTCAACGTGGTCACGTGCTGAGTGCTGTAAGCAAACACTGCCTGTGCTTTTATATGACACTCCTTGGATGACCTTTGCAACCAACAAAAGCACGCGTCCTTCCCCTGTCGCATATTGTCTGGACGCAGTTTATATAAAAGTTTCCTTAGTACACAACCCGTTCTTGAGGATTTGAATAATACACACCATGCTCGCAATTTATAGGCCTACTAGCAATTGCCGAAGTGCAAGTAACTCACATTTACCTACAGTCTCCGTTTCGCACTCTTAAAATACTCGGGGTATTTGAAAGCTTGTTCCCTTAAATTTCTCCTTAGTACCAATAGAAACGAAATGTATTCAGTCAGAAAATGCACTCACGGGCAGATGCAGGAATGGGGGGGGGGGTCAGGCCCACATATCTTTTTCACCAATTCATTTTTCATAACATCCCTCTGAAGTAAAATGGTCGAATCCACTTTAACAGTTGTTTGAATCATTATAATACTATCTAACGAAAAATCAGGTCCCGGTCACAACGTTGCTTTCTCACTGTTTCCTTCTCTGAAACTCGACAACAATGGCTTAGCCCAAACACACTTCCGACCAAAAAGCAAGCCTGGCGAACCTCTTGGGAAACGCGACTAGTAGAGAGGCTTTATTCGCAGCTTTGGGGGAATTGTTTTTCCAAAGGAAAGTCCAACATTTCAACAGGGGAAGCTTACACGAGGCATGAAGACTAGCCTCCTCTCTCAAGGACGGCAATAAAAGCCGTTTCCCATAGGAAAATGCAAGGGTAGCCCCATAAAAATATATGCATTTGGGTCATTTGACCCAGAATGCAACTCAGGCTTATCAAAACAGAAACCGAAACTCGTCAAGAAACCCTTTTCCTCCACTGCATATATAAAGTGAAATTAAGTATAAAAATGCCAAGCAAACAGGCTTCGTTTAGGGTTTATTCATTTCTTGCTCAGTTTACAACTCCTCGAATTTAGAAGGAAAACTTGTCAACAGCTACGACATGGATGACGATGTTTTCATAAAGAGAAATCCCAGTACACTGACAAGTGCAATGATGGTGCCGTCGGAGCCAGACTATATACGAGTCTTTACTTGCTTGAATGTTGGTGATCGGTTACAGCTTGTGCTCTGAACCCAGTAGAGAAGTATGCGCCCATAAAGAGCTCCACACTGAGGGTACCAGCTGATAAAATGGTAACAATTTTAGCAGGGTGACATTAAGTCTGCCAGGGCCGTTTGTCTGACTAAGGAATCGAGAGTGCATAACAAACGCATAAAGCCCATTTATAATCCAGTCAGAAAATCGTATACACAAGCGCGCAATGTTCAACACCAAACCATATACTGTTATGTACATGTTCATGTCCATGTACATTATTTTTTTTCCAATGGGCACTTGGGAAAAAAATCGTTCATCTCTTCTTGGATTCACCCTCAGAAATTTCAGATATGCCCCTGTCCCGCTCCTTCCAGCCGAGCTATCCTAGGTTTGGTTCCATACTTTGTCATCTAACGATTACAAGTGGCACACAAAACGAAACACGGGCTCAAATGCATCTGAATCTGTTTGTCTATTAGGTCTAGGTCTTCACTCCATCGGAAATACGTGGAGACACACAGACAATAGACCTAGCCGTACAGCTCTGGAAGCCCGTTTTGTGCTGGTTTTGTGGTGGTGGTGGTGTTGGGGGTCGTCACTTTATAAAGTGACAGCACCCATTTCTTGGGTGGAGCATTCCACTGGCGGAGGGGGGGGGTGATAGGTGCATTGCCGGTCAAACTGCTATATCGTGTTGTTGGTTTTTTCTCATTGGCGAAGTAAGGACATGAAGAGAAGCACCCCCTCACCGGTTGAAACGAACCATATTGGTGGGGAGTGCTCATTTTTGCTGGTAGCGACGCGACGTTTGGTTAAAACTGCATCTCGCTGGTTCACGAGCGACTATGAATGCAAGCGTTCCGGTAGCATTGCTAGCAACAAAATGAGCACTACCCACCAACGTTGCTCTTTTCAGCCAATGAGTGGGTGGTTCTGCTCAAGGCGGAAAGCCGTGAGGTGGCGATCCGAGGGGACAGGGTGGGGACACGCCCACCCATATTTTTGCGTATGGGCCGCGTATGGCAGTGTCCTCCATAATTCTTCACTGTGGTTTATGGAAAAAAGACTACTTGACAACAAACAAAAAACGGTTGTGTGTTTCGACAATCATGACCTTTGCTTTTAATGATCTCTTTCTCACCACCAAGGGTCCGTAGCGAGACTTAACATAAAAATGTTGCCTTTCAGATAAGCAAAACACGGATGAGTAAATCAGACAGAGTCACTACAATCCCGTAGTGGGAGATATAATTATTAGCTTGTAACCTGGTTTGGTGAGCAGTTTTTTTTTTTAACAGCTTAATAAAATTCTAAATTAAGCCCGTCTACGAATATGGCCCTATTTGACCTTTTTTAATCAAGCACCTAGCAACAATAACAGTGTTGTCCAAAAGCGAATTCTACTGAGCAACCCTGGACTTCCCCTCGCTTCCTGATTATTACTTACAAGAGTTGGCGAGAGATGTGACCACTGAGAATGAAACTACATGATGCTAAGACAATTCGGTGTGCTGCACAGGGATGCAACTCAGGGAACGAGTGATATGTACCCCCCACACACACTTTCTTCGTGGGGAGGAAAAAAGGCAGATTTTGAGGAATTTTTGTGCTTCTCAACAACAGACTATAAAAATGTACGCCATGCGCGTTTGGAAAGAGTAGACAGATTTTGCGTATTGTGATTGGACAACGCATTGCAAACTCTTGCAAGGCAGAGTTCGGGACGTTAAATTTGTTCTCGTATTCACGAACGGCTCGATTTGTGGTCCGTGGGTCGGCCGCCCTCGAACGCCGGGAACGTACAACCGGCTATCGCTACTAGTTATTTGTAGTATGCAACATGGCGGCGTCCTGGTGCATTCTTCGAGAGTTCATGTTTGGATAACTGGGCTAACTTCTTTTCTATTACAAAAAATCATTTCTGTTATGTAAACTTATTAATGTTAATTTGGCAAACTTTCCATGGTCTCCAGCTTTGTAAGCCACCTCGACAGTTTTTCCGGCTTTTCCAAAATCAAATCTCACGAGTTTTTCCGTGTGTTCATGTAAAACCCTGACGAGGAGATGTAAACCTGTTTCGAGAACAGTGTTCTTGAGTCGTGTTCCCGCCGTTTGAGCGCGAGAACAAGAAACCTGCATCAAGAACAGGCCGCCGTAACTGTTGTTAAACCACTCTTATGACGTCACCCTATTCAGTAAAGAATGGGCAGTTTTTAATAATCTACAGATTGGACATTCTCCAAAACCTAACAGATCAAACTTGACTTGATGGACACAGAAAAAGCACTTGTGACATTAAATTACAACGTCAAACACGGTAAGAGACGCTCTCAAAAATAAAGTAAATTGTTTTAGACATTCGATACGGTTAACACTCCAATTTTTAGATTTGACGCGGTAACGTTTTCTGTTGAGATTAGCGATTTTCAGTTAAAGCGAACCGCTCCTTACGTTGCACTGTATGTTTTAATGTATCTCAATTTTTACATATCCCTTCCATTTAAGTTTGATTTCATCTTTTTTTTCAGTTTATTGTAGGTTAATATTCTAACGGTTACGTATAATTTTTATTATGTTTATAATTCTTCTTTGTGCATTTATTTTTAAATTCACATCTTTGCTTTCGGTTAAACCTCAGTTTTAACTCTTTTCCTGTGATCAAACAATTTTTAATAACAACTTCAACAATCACAATTCATATACAATTTTGCAGATTAATCGTTCAGAAACTTACGTATGATACTTCCCAGATGAATGAGATTATATTCCAAATGCATGTATTCTTCAAACGAAAGAATTTCCTTCGGTGACTGGTGGATTTCAAAGAGTAAGCATGTAGTTTCATTTGAAGAGACAGTAAATTGTAGTTCTCAAATCAGTCACTCGGGAAACTTGCTTGGTGGTGGTGTAAAAGGTCCCCAGCTCCGTACAGTCATATCGATAGCCTTTACTAACATAAATTTAGCATTATTTCCGCAACTAATGTATAATAGATATAAATCCCAAAGATGTGTACTATAAAACTGCTGCAACCTGCTTGCTGACTACAGCGACCTCATACAAATTTGGACCGTAAGACATTGTGTGTGCCGTGCGATATGCTGATGGTGTCGACTGTAGCCCAGGTTGGACGTTGTCTTAATTTCATTCAAGTAGTCAGGGAATCCACCTGGGCTAGTGTCGACTGCATGTCAGCATGTAACTTCGTGTGAAGCATGTACCGCGCCTGCGAATGAAAAAAACTAATTGTGCACCCATCCGGGGAGTTACTTATTGGCTTGGGACAGGAAGGAAGCTTTTATGTACATGTACATGCAAATGTACATAGCAAGCCAACGCTGGACAAATGTTGGAATTCATCTCACGGCTCTCAAAGTGTCAGTAAAGCCTTTTTGTTCTTTTGTACAAGGGAGGGACTTGGTTTGAGTCGGAGAAACGACTCAAAAGGTGGAGATTCTTTGATACAAATGGACTCGGACGCTTCGTGTCCTCACCCATTCGAATCCAAGAATCGCCACTTTTTTTGTCGTTTCCCCTTGACTGAAAGGCCCGTATTATCTACTCAGCCATTAAACGTATTCTAATTGTAAGCGCGGGCATTTTTTAAAGCTACAGAGGAGTCGTCTTTTGCGTGGTTCCCAAATGGCTGGGGCTTGTTTTAAGGGACCTCAGCCGTGGCGGAAGCGAAGAAGTTCACCTCGCCCTGCATAGCCCCGTGGTAGATGTCCTTGGCCTTCTGCAAGTCAACGCCGTACTCGTCCGCGTACGCGTCGATGAAGTGTGCGAGCTTGGAGCTGCCGCCCAGGTTGTCCGTGATCCAGAAGCTGTACACGTTGGTCTCGCTCTGGGAAAAAAATGAGAACGATTACGCTTTTTGTCGAGGAAATGTCACTGCTTTATTTCGTCCCCACCACGATGGATGACATCTTTTGATTGTTCATTTCCTGTCCTTGTCAGTGTCTCCCTCTGTTTGTCTGTTTGCTGGGCTGTTTTCTTCGAGTCACGGCTGGGGCCTCCACATGTATCTTTATACCCAAAGACATGACTACTCATCAACAACAGAAGCTGTTTTTCCCCCATCCAGCCCCCCCCCAATTCTACTCGTTCACATATTCCCTCAATGAGCCTCATCGGTTGAAAAGAGCCATAATATAGAGAGGAGGGTTTATTTTGCCATGAGGTCTTTCGGGACGAATGACACCTCGCGGAAGCTATTACTCGAACGCACCCGTAAAACTCATCACATGGGTCCCATAAAACTTACAATGCCCGATTGGATCTGCTCGGCCAGCCATTCCCACAGTTTCTCGCACGGCAGCATGGCAATCAGCAGGTAGATTGGTTCGCAGTTTTCGGCCACGCCCTTCTCAAAAGCCGAATAGGAGGCAGCGGCGGCTCCCATGGCAACCCCCGACGGATCCCGGATGTGCCATTGCTTGAACATGACCTTCGTGTAACTACAAAGGAGAAAGCCGTTCTCAAGTGTAAGAACATCGTATGACTTTTTGATTTACATAAGTGTATTTACACTGGTTTAGCTAAGCACAAACTATTGTTATCGATTCTGTAATTTTTCACTTAAAAATAACAGGGCTGGGAAAAATTTGGAGCTTGAGAAAACACTTGGGCCCTTTTCCAATACTCGACTTGGGCTCCTTCTCAGGCTTTGATCCCAAAACCAATCCCCGGTTGTGGGCATGAAGCGTTTAAATTAAATGGGATTATTGTAATTTCTGGCTCTCTTGAATCTCATTTGATGTTTTGTGGCACTATTAAACTAATTACTGCGCTTACAGCTTCAAAGTCAGCTAGTTAAAAAACAGTTAAAGCCCGAGACGGAGCCGAAGTTGAGCATTGGAAAACGGCATTGAAATCAAAGTCCCTATTAAAAGAATAAACAACCTTTCGTAAATTTCGTTGGTACCCTGCACTATACAGTATTCGGTGTGCAGCGGATGGTTTGTTCCGACGTCAAGGGTGCAGACCAATAATTCAAGTGAGAATTTTTTTACCAGCTCATTAGCATTAAAAGTGCCCCCCACAGTATCTTTTGAAAAAGGAGATTGTTTGGCCCCCAAAATGGTGAGATTGTGTAAATCGTTGCCCGGATCAACTCCCTGGGTCTTTGAGCTTTCATTTGAGAGCTGAAGGGCTAAAAACTACGGTTGAAAAATGGTCCTAAGTGCCCCAGAAAGTTGAGGGTTGCCACTTGAAAAAATGGCTGCAAACAGACTTCAGAAAAATCACTTTTTGGGGGGTGATTTTGTTTTGTGGGGAATAATTAAAAATGTAATTGGTTAACCCACAAAAAATTGAAAATAAAATTGAAAGATAAGTGACCAGACCCGAATTTCATTTG